GGGTCCATTTTAATTTTTTAAAAATTCTCTTGGCATCTGATAGTGGTCATCTAAGTCATTTAAAGGCCAACGTGTTAACAGTAAATAAATGACGCAAAAAGGATTAAAATTTAATTTAGCAAGAATCTGCATATTTTAAAAGCGTCTGCAAGCTTTCAAGTTCTCTAGAACATTTAATCAGACTGGTAGTTTAAAAATAAAAGGAAATGCATTGCTGTTATCAAGATCCAAATAGTTGAACAAGATGAATGATCATTAGTCTAGAATAAATGCCAAATTTTGAATGTTGTAAGAGGAATTTCCATCCTTCATTTCCAGAATAGCCTTCTCCTAGAGTCCAGGTTAGCACCAATTCTGATAACCTTCCAGAAATAGGTAAATTTTCAAAAGCATTTGGAGCAGGGGTCTTTAAATTTGGCTCAGGAATTCTGGGAGTTGAAGTCCACAAGTCATAAAAGGGCCAAGTTTGAAGATCCCTGATTTAGAGGATAAAGCTAATACCATCAGAGAATATTATTATTCTTTGGGTTATATATCTTTTGATATTTTTTACTTACATGAGTAACCAACACAAAAGAAACAGGGTTGGGGTTATTTGATCATCTGAAGAGAATGAAATTTGAATTGCAAAAGAAATAAATGAAGGAAGAGATAAAGCAAGATCAAAGAAGTTGTATGTTAAATGAACTCCTAAAAAAGAATGTGAAAAATATAAAGCTCAAAAGGCAATGCATGAAGTGATGTATAAACATGACAGAAGAAAGCACGGTTTGCAAGTAAAAAGTGTGGAGAGGTATACAAATGTTTTTATTGCAAATTAATTTTAATTATAAATCTTTTCTTACCTTGTTTACCTTCTTACCACTATTTTCTTTGGCTTACTACTACTTTCTCTTTTTCTGCGCTTTGAATAAATATTGCTTATCAAAAGTAAATAGCATGATGGATATAAAAGATGGGAAAATAGCATGATAAAAGTAATATTAAGAATGGCATTAAAATATATGGTATTTTTCACCATTGCAATATTAGACTTTGGATTCACCTAAGCTTTGTCAGCATTTCTCATATATCCTGTGATGAAGGAAAAGAAGGGAAGCAACCTCTGATTAGAACTGGGAAACTCAACAAAAGCATGAATATTGGAGAATGTACTTAGTCCCAATTGGATGAAAACTTTGCCTTTGAATTAAATGATTCAAGTATCCCATGCTTCTTTTGCCTTTAAGCCTGAGTGAAAAATCAGTGCCTTTCTTTGATTTATTGATAGTGCTTAATTTAATCTTTTCTTCCCTACTGGACACCCTTTGGTTTTGCTGGGACTGCCACTTTCAGCTTTCTCATATCTGGAGGAATTGGGGGTGGGGGAAGTCCGGCCTGCTAATATAAATAATATAATTTGTAGAATTCTATGATGCAAGGTGTTGTGGCCATTGCTGGTTCAGAGGATTTTAAAAGCAACAGCAAGTTTTTTATATATAAAATGTGTCTATTATAGTTAAAGCCATGACAGTCAAAATGGAAGCTCAGGTTGAGAAGGGTAACTGACAGACACCAAGTGAGTAAAACAGGAAATGGCTGTGGTCTTCAAGTCTAATGACATAAAATAAATAATTTTATCAGGATTAAGAATTTTTTTGGCAGGGGAAAGGATACAGATGGAGCACTTGGAAGCCAAAGCTAATGTACTTTGCCAACTAAAACTACTTAGGAAAAAGAAAAGAGTCTGGATGGTAAATTTGGAGTGTATGATTTTTATGGCTATATCTGTTTTGGTGGAAGTATTCTCAGTATCACCTATTTTTCTTTTTGCAAGATGTTGCTGATCCATATTGAGGAAAAATATGATTAAATTTTGGAATCTCAGAAGTGAACTCTGCCTGTATTCTTATAACTCACAATTTCTTTCTTATCACAGGAAGGAGGGAAACTTTTCCTTCTACTGTTGTTTAACTTCACTTTGTTATTCTGGCTAAGCTGATAGATTGTGGTTAATGTCATTCCTGGTTAGTTACAAATATGCTAGTTAAAACCCAAACAGATGACAAAACAGATACACAATAAAAAAGATTTTCTGCCAATAATTGTATTTAAGGGTAAAAGTATTCTGAAAAATATTTTTTTAAAGTAGAAGAATAACTCATAGGCATTGCAGTCAAATGAGGCTGGAGCCCAGTAAATTGATGTATGAGAGGATGTTGCCAGTGTCATAGCTGTTAAATACACAAAGTGCAATCCAACTTAAGCTTTGCCATATTGTAAAATTCCTGAATAGATCAATACATTTTTATTATATGTGACTAAAAAAGTGATATGTTAGTTACATTTAGTTAGGGATGATTTGGACTTCAGTAAGAGTTTCCAAAAATGAAACTGTATTAAGAAAACCAGCTATAATTATTTGAGAATGAGAATAGTGCTATTGCACATGATGGCAAAATATTTTTAGTGCTCTGTTTAGGAACTTGCATACTTTGCCTTAGTCTAGGCATTATCTCATGCTTATTCTTATGAATTTCCAACCTTGGAGTCAAATAACAGAATAGAAAAGCTCCTTGCCTTCAATAGCCGAGACTTCTAACATTCTGAAAAGTTCTAGAACAATATGATTTCAATTACTGTCATTTAAAAAACCCTACTCTATATCAATCATATTTTAATAAAATAAATAAATTCACTGTATTATATTATTACATCAATTTCAAGTGTAGATTTGACAGACACATAATTTCCATGATTTTTGAAAGTAAAAGGGCAACAACTGAAGGAGGAAGTAGTTCTCAAAACATGGTGTCTGAAAATGTAACAGTCTACACACTTCACATGTGTTTCATAAATTTTCTTAAATGTCAATCTAATGAATATTGAGTTACTGAATGGAAGCATTAACATACCTCAATTTATATGCACTGTGCATATTGTGTTATGCCATGATACTCTGCTTTTTAAAATGTTAAAACTATTTATCATGTTGTTCTGCCAACTTCGCTATGCTTTGTCCTTATTTTAAAAGCATGGTAGCAAGTCTAAATTTATATTTAGCAATTGTGCAATTAAATTGTAGCAGTATAAGTTAAAATGATTACCCAAACTATCTATAGTCTGATATTTGTAACCAATTGCTTATTATTTGGTAATTGTTACATGAGGTAATATAGGAAAAAGAGAAGTAACTGATCAGCTTGCCCTGTTTATGTAACACATACTGTAACATGTGAATAGAGTCTGCATAGAGTCAAGCTCTTTTGTTTTCCATCTTTCAAATGAAGACTTATTTGATAGGGCCTCAGAAAGCATTTAAAGAGGCTCTTCACAAAACATATTAACATGAGTGAAGCATTTCTCCTTGAAACATTACAGATAGTACTTGACTTACAACTGGTTGCCTAGTGACTGTTCAAAGTTATGATGGACATCCCTGGGGATACTTACAACCTGGTTCCAGAGTGGGCCATCTTATAAGATACTGGTGGTTTTTATGTAGCAATCACAGTTGGAACCTGCAACTTAGTCATTAAAGCCAAGCTATTGCTAGGTGAAACTGCAGCTCTGCTTATGATCTTACTTAAGCTTTCCTTTACCTACTTGTGAAAAATCATAAATGTGAGGATTGATCATAAAGTTACTTTTTCATCACTGTTGTAACTACAACTGGTTGCTAAATTAGGCAGTCACTAAAAAGACTAACTATAGCCATAATATACTATACAGTACAGGAAGAAATCTGCTGAATCAAGGTGAATCTGGATTGTGCCACACTTTGGCCAGTTAGATGCATTCGGTAGGCTCATTCATGCAAACAAATATCGTTCCTCTCTTATTAATAATGGTTATTAGCTATTATTCAAAGCCAGAAATAGTAAATATCCATTAAGCCTTTAATCACTGACAGCTCAATCCTCCATGAACTTGTTCAATCCTCTTTAATACCCTCTAATTTGGTGGCTGTTTCATATGATGACAATGAACTTTATAGATGAAATATGTATTATGTTAATAAGTCAAAATCTAAGCATGGTTGATGCTGTCCTCAAATATTTATTTGGAGACTGTGGGGGATGGGTATGCAGCAGTTTCCATCATATTCATTGTATCTTGCTAGGTTAGTGATTGATTGATTGATTGATTGATTGATTACATCATTCTTTTACTCTTAGCAGCTATGTAGATTTTATTCATGAGAATCTATTTCTAACCTGTTTTTTTAAGTTTCTCCATGGTGCATCCATCATCAATGAAGACCTTATTGCACATGCCATTTATAAGCAGATTGCCCGTAAATATAGACTTTGTATAGACACATATAATGAAATATAGGACTTATTCATACAGAGTACAGTAAGTTAAAACAAGATAGTTGTGTAAATACATTAGAAATACTTAAGTATTTAAATAATATTTGCATTAGTGAAATATATATAAATTGTAACTGCTTATTGTTACAATGACATATCATAGTTTTCTTTATTGGATTATACTTTTTTGTTAAAGTATTTTTATGTGCTTCTAATTAGTTTTAATAATATTATGCCTAAATCATGGAACCATGGAAAGTTGAGAGGAAATTTTGACGATTAGAATGAAATAAATGAAATTTAAACATTGTGTATAAAACACATTGATGTTATTAGCAATGAAGCACAAAAATACAACATGCAGAAAGATTGAAATTAGTATTTTCTTGACTGACCGATTACTTGTATAGTTAATCTTCCATTGAAAATAAATCTTAATATATTTTCTTGTATTCTAAGAACCCATCTTTTCCATCTGACAATCAACAAAGCTTTCAATTTTTAATGTCAGTTATAGATATTTTTAAAACAACTGTGTTTTCCCTCTCCTAAGTTGAAAAATCAGTATTGACACATGAAGTAGTTAGGAGAAATAATCAGATAAACATTCAATGCTTCCCCCCCCCTTTCGTCTTGTAAGATGGATGTACAGATGAATTTCATGATCTTTTCTATTCAAATAATGTTTACTTTCTTTTGTCCTAGTTTAGACTTGGATCATTGATATTACAAAGAGTTACAAACTCATCTGAAGTCATTAGAGAGCTGATTACCTATTGCCTAGAATGTGTAAAAGAACTACATGCCAAAAATGATCACCTACAAAAAGAGAATGAAAGGCTTCTGAGTGATCTGGATGATATGCAAGAGCAGTAAGTTGAAAAATAACATTCACAGGTTTTTTTTTTTACTTTCTTTTGATTCCCTCAGACTTTTTATTATGTGAATGCAATGCTAATTTACTAACCAGGGATTAATGAAGCTGATTTAAAGTTAATTTAAATCAGTTAGATATGACCTTTATTGGATTACATCTACCAGTGAAAACACAGAACTATATTTTTCCACTGTTTAAATACTGCTGAAAACTTTGAATCTTCCTAGAATGTATTGTGTCAGTATTTATTTATATATTGATACTTGCATTTTTATCATTTCTAGGTTGTTCTTTCTTACCTCTCCCCTAACTAATTAAAACTTGATTTATATACAGGAGTTCTTCAGGTAGTTGATTAGTACCTCTAATGTTTCTAGCAAGATTTACCAAATTGATCTCCACAGTAATGATACCCAGTGATTTGCATTTAAATTAGTTGAATTATTTATTAGCTATTGAATATCCACATCACATAGCAGGGTAGCTTAAATTCATAGGATTATTTGTCATTTATGAAGTTATTTAGTAGATAGGATTATTTGTCATTTATGAAGTTATTTAGTAGATAAGCTGTAAAAACTATATTTTCCAGCATTTTGACATGGATTAGCGTGTGAGGATTCAAATATATTTGATATAAATAAAAGTATTACATGGATTTAATCATTTAATGTACAAGAAGAAATGTGCTTTTAAATTGAAAGACAGAAGTACCAAATCCTAATATAGTATTCTAATTCCACGTTGAATTTTGCATTTACTTATAGGATGATGCATGTAGAATTGCAATACAAACACACACGTGTATGTATTATATCAGATATATTTCGTTCCTATTGTGAATGGATGTTTTGATGGCTAAATCTCCAACAGCAGCAACAATTTGCAATTACTATATGAAGTTACAAGGTTTTGGTGCTTGTTTAGTAGCATGACAAATGATTGGACTTCTGGAAAGTTTGGCAATACTTTGGTTTTCTAGTTAATGAGACTGTACAGAAGAACAGGACTCCATATGGTCCTGATACACATGTGGCAGTACTTACAAAATGACCTGTTTATAAAATGGCTGCTATCATTGGCGGATTTAATCCCAAATTCATTTACTGGCAGGCAAACTAGCTCTCAGAGTGCTTTCTATTAATCCACCAAGACACTGAGGGATTGAAAGGTATTGTTGCAACAAATAAGATGCTACAAGATGATGCTTTACTTTTCAGGATGCTAACAGTATGCATACTAACAATATCTACTGTACAAGTAAACTGACAGCATTTGATATGAGCCTGAATATTTTCAGATTTTTTCATAAGCCATTATATAGGTTTTTTAAAATTCAGCATATATCTTTGATATTCTATTAAAATAATTATCTCCCCCAAATGTAAAATTGATAAATATGTATAATATTTATATCTATAATGAAGTCATAATCAAATAATTGTCCTGGTATAGTTGTACTTCTATTCACTGTCATCATTTCTGCTATACTCGATGACTTTGATTTAAGCTTCTCAGAAAAGTCAGTACTGTATTTTTTTAAAAAAAACCTCTCTTATTCTTTATTATGCAATTAACAGAGGCATTTATTTTTAAGATTACAAAAATGTGTTGAAGCTAAAGAAGAACTGGAGGCTGACCTTTATAAGCGATTTGTCTTGGTCCTCAATGAAAAGAAAGCAAAGATAAGAAGCTTACAGAAACATTTAAAAGAAGTCGAAGAAACAATACCGGAAACTGCACAAACAGGGTATAATTTATTACTTTCCTTCTACTAAGTAAACATCATGCATGAAATAGGAGTAGCTCTGTTCTCTATCTTATGCAGGCTTCGAAGTTCAAAGACTGTGTGTCTTGAAATGAAGTAATATAGAAATGAAGTTCTATAGAAGAACTTTAGCAATTCAGCATTTTGGCAATAATACATTAATTATAGTATTTATTTGAAGCATTCTAAATACACACCTAAATGGAATAAATACAGGTAGTTCTTGAGTTTAAACCATTCAGTGGCCTTTTGAAGTTATGGCAGTGCTGAACAAGTGATAAATATGCTTGGTCCCTGAAGTTTCACCCAATGCAGCACCCTTGCAGTCATGTGATTAAAATTTTGGGCGCATGGCAGCTGGCCTGCACTTATGACTGCAAAATCCTCCATCTATCTATCTCTCTACCCCCCCTCCATCTTTGCCCTTTTGGTAGCCCTGCTCTCACTAACCCTGCAGGGATAGTCACTCTGGATCTACTGCCCCTGCTGGCCTCACTGGACCAGCTGCCCCTGCTGGCCTTGCTGCCTCCAACTGACTTTTGCTGTCTTCCTCCTGTCACTGCTCATGAGGCATATCTTCTTCTCAAGGCCGCAGCTGCCTCTTGGCCAAAGTACAGATGGCCTTGTCTAAATTGTGTATGGCTTTCTCATGAAGTTTCGGAAGGCAGGCATGTGATAGATGGCCCCAGCAGTTCTGATATGAAAGAAAGACCTGGCTAGAAGGAACCTTCTTTTGCACCAGTACAGCTAGGGCCTTTTTTTATTTTGTGTTTCAATATGAAGTTTTCTCCCTTCCTGAATTCTAGAAAGGAAAATGCTGAAAGAAAGTGAACAGGACTGATTGTTTGAAAATATGTTAATTAATAATTGTAAAAATGGCACTGGGCATTATACCAAAAACCTTGGAGGTACTTAGATAAACTGCACATTGCCAGAATTTCTGTCAGTTACAAAAGGCCATGCTACTTAGACCCACACAAATACTTTGCCAGCATATTATGGCATCTTAGATTCTCAGGAAGAATTTGATATATATGAAGGCCAACACCAAGAACAGGACATAGTACTACTAAGAAAAAAGAAAAAAATTACTTTGTATTTTGTTGTTTGTAAAGAGAAAAAGGAAAAATTAAAATTAAAAAAGGCAGCTGTGATTTCACATAGATGTGTACAATATATAATAATTGACTTTTTTAAAAAACTAGAAAAAAACAATGGCCAAATAAATCCATGTTGCTGCCAATAAAATATTCCCATGATCACCCTAAACTCCACTACATAAGAATGTCTTTGCTTAAAAAAAAATATGTCCATGGACCAACTTTCATTAAGTCTTGCCTTGGGATGAATTTTTTGAATTTAAATATATAAATGGGATTTAAATAAATGTTAATACTACTACTACTACTACTACTAATACTACTACTACCAATACTACTACTACTACTACTACTACTACTACTAATAATAATAATAATAATAATAATAATAATAATAATAAAAAAGTTGGAAGGGACCTTGGAGGTCATCGAATCCAACCCCCTATTCAGGCAGGAACCCTACACCATTTCGGACAAATGGCTGTCCAGTCTCTTTTTAAAAACTTCCAGTGTTGGAGCATTCACTACTTCTGGAGGCAGGTTGTTCCATTGGTTAATTGTTCTAACTGTCAGGAAGTTTCTTCTTAGTTCTAGATTGCTTCTCTCCTTGATTAGTTTCCATCCATTGCTTCTTGTCCTGCCTTCAGGTGCTTTGGAGAATAGCTTGACTCCCTCTTCTTTGTGGCAGGTCTTGAGATATTGGAACACTGCTATCATGTCCCCCCTCGTCCTTCTCTTCGTTAAACTAGACATACCCAATTCCAGCAACCGTTCCTTATATGTTTTAGCCTCCAATCTCCTAATCATCTTTGTTGCTCTTCTCTGTACTCTTTCTAGAGTCTCAACATCTTTTTTACATCGTGGTGACCAAAACTGGATGCAGTATTCCAAGTATGGCCTTACCAAAGCATTGTAAAGTGGTATTAATACTTCATGTGATCTTGATTCTATCCTTCTGTTAATGCAGCCCAGCACTGTGTTGGCTTTTTTGGCAGCTGCAGCACACTGCTGGCTCATATTTAAATGATTGTCCACTAGGACTCCGAGATCCCTTTCACAGTTACTACTATTGAGCAAGGTACCCCCATACTATACTTGAACATTTGTTTTTTCTTGCCTAAATGTAGAACCTTACTTTTTTCACCATTGAATTTCATTTTGTTGGATAGCGCCTAGTGTTCAAGTCTGTCCAGGTCCTCCTATATCTTAAGCCTGTCTTCTGGAGTGTTGGCTATTCCTGCCAGCTTGGTGTCATCCGCAAATTTGATGAGTTCCCCATCTATCCCCTCATCCAAATTGTTGATGAAAATGTTGAAGAGCACTAGGCCTAGAACAGAGCACTGGGGCACCTCACTACACACTTCCCTCCATGTAGATGCAGTTCCATTGAGGACCACATGCTGAGTATGGCCGGTCAGCCAGCTACGAATCCATCTGGTGGTGATGCTGTCTAACCCGCATTTTTCTATCTTATCAAGTAGTAGGTTGTGATCTACTTTATCAAATGCCTTACTGAAGTCCAAGTAAATTATATCCACAGCATTCCTCTGATCCACTAATTTTGTCACTTGGTCAAAGAATGCAATAAGGTTTGTCTGGCATGATCTGTTTTTGACAAACACATGTTGGCTTTTAGTGGTGATTTTGTTTGCCTCTAGGTCATCTTTCATTTCTTATATTTATTTTTGTTTTTAATATTACTTTGACATAAACATACAATGATTTTAATATAAGATACAGTACATAATTGAAAACATTTCTGGAGATAATATTTACAATACATGCTTATAGGCCAACTTATTTGGTCTGTAGAACCTGCATATGTTTGTGACGTTGGGTATTTTCTATTATGTCATTTTTATGATTAACATAGCTATTTTGCTTTGTTTTTTATTTCTATTTAAATATACAATGTGAGAATTTATATAATAGGATTCCTGATAACATACCCCAGCATCATCTCTATAGACTTTAGTTATTGGAAAATACTTTATCTCACTGGCTAATCTTCCATGTTAGAATAGATTTGGCATGCACCAAAAGCTTAGTCTGTACTTATTTTTTCCCTAAGGCACTGAATGACTGCAAAGTTTGATTTAATATTATAGAAATGTTATATATGGAGTTTTGCTGTACTGTAAATTGGGAAGAAAACATACAACAGTGTCACAGATAAGATATTAAAAGTTTAATGAGAACCAGTATCTGTCAACATTAGTGGTAACATTTAGACAAATGGGAGTAACATTGACTGTCTCACATTGGCAATGGGAAACAGTATTAAAGCATTTTTGTAAAAATGAAGCTAGAGATTAGGAAAAGAAAATGGGATGGGAAATATAAAGAATTTGAAAGGAAAAAGAGTGAAAAGTTCAAGAGTAAGAAATAAAATATATAATAAAATGTGTGTTCTCTATTTGTTTCACTTATTTATTTAATTTATAGGCTCTTCCCCTACCCTTACTTACAAACAACTCTGTGATTTCCAACTAAAATAGGTGGGTAGGTAGATTGGTAAGTAGGAAGAAAGATGGGAAGGTAGGTGGATGGATGGAAGGAAGGAAGGAAGATGATATAACTGATCTGAAGAACCAATATTGAAAAAGAAGACCAAAATGAATCAAAACAAAGGAAAACAGACAAAAGGGGGTTTCTACAATCACATTGTCCCCAAACCTGAGAGAACAACCTTCAATAATTTCTTGGATGTCAGAATGGTGGGAACGACACAAATCTTTTTTGTCTATTTTAAATCCCCATCATTACAACAAGGAATGTGTTTTTGAAAAATAATTTTCTATTACAAATGTTACCCAACATTGTAAAGTAAGTTTAATTAAAACCATTCCTTTTTTCTATTAAGGCATTTTATCCTTTTCTTGCCTGTTTATGAGCTCTATATGTTCTATAATACTGGTGTATTTTGATAAAGCTTTGTATTCTTATAGGGACCCAGTAATTGCTTCAAAAAGTACAGTTGAAAAAGAAAATTATGAAGGAAGCACTGATGAAGAAAGTGAAAATTTGATACAACTGACAACATCAGAGTCAAGTAAGGTAGACCAAGTTGCTTATATTGATGTCATTACAACCATCCATTTTAATTGATCCAAACTGTCTGGTTCCTTATTGTAAATTAATATGAAAGCATACACTTTTAAAAAATCTTTAATCTTGGAGAGAATCATGTACAATAAGTCCATTTTGATGCTTTAAAATCAAAATATTAAGATACAGATTTTTCTAACAATAAGCTACAGGAGTGAAAGCTGTGCATTGAGATAGAGCACTGAAAAGATAAATGTCTTTATAAAATTGGAAATGGTTACAAAAAGTATAGTAGACTAAAAGAAAAACCATTCAGTCAGTCCTGGACTTAATTAAAGACTGACTAATTGCACCCTTGAATTGATAATTATTAATGGGAACTCAGTTACTGAGTCTAACTCAGACATGTGGTGAAAAAGAACTGAACTTAAAAAAAAAGCATTCTTGACAGGTAGAGAACTAATATTTTCCTTTTAGCTTTATATTTAATTTGGTGAAACAATTTGCTTAATTTTTTATTATTATTATCAGGAGGAATCGTTTTTTCATTGATTTTGAGACAGATGGCCAAAGGACATTTTTATTGTGAAATCCTCTCTCCCTAACTTCTAGCTTTTAGTTTAATCTCCAGAGAACTTCCGTTTGGCTTTTCCAGTAACAGGATTTTTGTCACACTACGTTGTAGTAGGCTACTGGAAATTGTTGGAGAATTTCTCTTCTTCCAGAGGAATTTGGACATCATCCACTCATTTTTCTGCTCAGAAATTTGATGAAAAATTTCAACTGGCCATTTGTTCCCTTTTCTAGTGCTGTATGTTTTTGATAAAGTGAACAAAAATCAGCAAGTTTTGAAAAAAGAAAATACCTGACTTTATTTTTATACAAATATATTTTTATACAAATAATAGAAGTACTCCTCGACTTACAACCACAGTTGGGACTGGAATTTTAGTTGCTAAGCAATGTAATTGTAAAGCAAGATAACACAGACTGCATCACTTAGTGATTGCAATCCTGGTAATTCTTGTTGCCATCATTAAGATAATTTTACTTAAGGTAAAGGTCTCACTCAGTCCCTTCCAGCCCTGAGCCTCAGTAAGATAAGGGACTGCCTCCAACTTCTCCCACATACCTCTCTCACCCCTTCCCTCATCTTTGCCCTTTTGTTTACTCTGCAAGGCTCTGGGGCTGCTTGCCACAACCTGGGGAAGCCACAGCCACCCCAGCCCAGTCCAATTGCCCTTGCCGCCCTGCGCTCCAAGATCCCTGCTGCAATTGCACTCTGCCATCCCAGCTCACTTTTGCAATCTTCTTGCCTGTCCTGGCCATAGGACTGCTGGCTTTGAATTGCAAAATGGTGCTGGCTTTGAATTGCAAAATGGTGAAGTGGGGAGGGGGAGGCAAAATCACTCCCTGGGCCATATTGTGCCAAAACATCCCTTTGGAAAGAGCTACTAGGCAGAGCTGAGGTTGACTTCATTTTCCACAAAGAGAAAAAAAGGCTGCTTTTTTCCCGTATCTGCAGCGCAAAGCCAATTCCAGTCCTGGCCAATAGTCAGGTCAGGCACACTTCAGTAGCGGAAGCAAGAAGAAAGTAGAGATTAGCTGGGATGGTGGAGCACAGAAGGCCAAAAGGTCATAGATGATGGAGAAATTAGCAGGTGGAAAGAGTTGCAGCAATCTCCCCCCCCCCAGTTATTAATGTAGGCAGGCAATCAAGTGCTGAGTTTTGTTTACAGCAACAGCCATAGTTTCCTACATGAGTTGTAAGTCTCTTCATTCAGTACATTGTAACTTTGAACAGTCACTGAACAAATGGTCATAAGTCAAGGACTACCTTTTTGCATCATGAGTTGATACCCAAGGTCTCTCATATCAACCAAAGACTTTTAGTGAATGAAATTATCAAGAACATAGTTATTTTTAAAAAAAAATAAATGATGCCTCCTTAGCAGCTTGCAAGGGAAATTGCTCTCACATTAATTCTTCAGCCTATAAATAATGTTGAAGCAGTGTCAGAGCTCTGACATTTGGTCCTAAGTAGATTTGAAACAGACCCTCAATGTGTGGGTAACTTAAATTGGAAGACTCTTTGTAAATCATTGTGCTCTCTCATGTGTTCAAAACAAATTAAAGTGTAATGTTTATAGGTCTCTTAGCTGTTTATAACTTTTACCTGACTCTGCTTTCTTTGGCAAAGCATTGTACCTCTGGGAAGCTGGTTTATTTTGTTTACATATATTGTTGCTCAGACTGGGCTGTTACAGATGTCTTTGGCAAAATTATCCTCAGATCTTTGAATTGCAAAGAGTACTTTATCCTACTTTTTTGTCATTCTTTCACATAACATTTAAGTCTTTCTGTTTGGTATACAGTACATTAGTAATAAAAGCACTCTATTCATTATTTTAACTCATGTCTGGTACTTATTCGCAGATTGATTTGGTTGTATTTTCAGCAATTAAAAGACTTGGTTTGTTTCTTTCTTCAGTTTGCAATCTAAATTTGCTATACAGAAGTAGTTCTTAACAAAGTCTCTCACGCCAATGAAATACTGTATTATTTGTTGGTTAATTTCATCTATCTATTATTTGATAGTCAGAAAATAAAAGTATTATGGCAATGTAAATTATGTAGATATTGTAATTGAAACTGATTATCTTATCTCAAAAAATGTTTTCCTTTATTTCAGAATGCAAGATCATGTTCCACTTGTACCTAATATAGCACAAAATGTCTTCAAAATGCAAATATTTTTCTGCTATTTTCCATGACATTACCTTCAGAGTTCATGAGTCAGACTAAGCCATCATTGACTAGCCCAGTATTAAAATAGTCTCTTCCTCCTTAAATCAGTGACAATTTCAAGGTTCATAAAATCCATGACACTTCATCATTCATTACATCAATACTGGATAGGATCAGAGAGATGCTAATTGAGTATTTCAGTCTGGTATGAGCATGTCCCATTGCTGATGGTTTGTGCTGTGCCAGAGTTGACACAGCAGTGCTGTTGCAGTAGTACTTCAAATTTGTGTAAGGGCAATAGAGCTTTATTTTTCAGTGCAAGGATTCCCTTTCTGTCCTTAGCAACCCTGTTGTGGTTGCATTCAAATGTTTTAACCCTTGTTTACTCATAGAGAACAATTTAGCAATTAAAAAACCCTTATGGAATGGTGGAAACAATCAGCAGCCATTAATATAAATGATAATCTCATACTAGTACTAGATTGTTTAAACAATTGAATGATGGGACCATCCACTCTACTTCTACATCTTGAAATTGGTATATGTTATGTCCATAAAGAAAAGAAAAGAAATGAAACAAGTGAAATCCTAAATAAAAATGCTGTTTTTTATCAGTTCCAGTCTTTAGTTTAGGGATTTTTTAATGGCAAGTTCAGGTTTTGGCAGGCTGAATGTGATATAGAAGGGTTCTAAAAAGGAGAGTAAATATGATGGAGCCTGAAGTTAGACCATCCCATTCCTGATGCACTGCAGTATTTCATATTGGATGGGAATATGCTAAAGAGAGGATGCAGCAAATCCAGAAGGATCAGGATTTCTATGTAACATATACTGGACATGCATAGTCAGGCAGTCCCATCCTGCAGCAATTCAAAATAAATGCAAAAGGGACACGCAGGGTTCATCAATGTGACAGCAAATTTATTCTAATATTAGACAAATGACACTTTGGGTTATCGTTTTAGAAATATTTCCTTAGTAGATTCCTCAATGCTTTTAACAGTGGTGGAGCTTCTAATGCACTTGAAAAGCTGGAATACATCCAAAGAGGTATCTGACTTGAAAATAACCCATATTGAACTGTATAGCAGAGTCCAACATCAGCACAGGAAATGCTTTATGACATTTTGAATTATGTCATAAACTGCTTCAAAACGTTTTGCTCTTTGGTGTATCATTTTGCCCAGTTAAAGTATTAGCAGAAAATTATCAGATAGATAATTTCCTGGATGGCTGTATAGTGCTTAATACAACAGGATAGCTTAGAAAGTTCTAAAGATTAACTACTAAGATCTCATCTGAATATTAAACTAAGTATTCATTGACTTCCATTCTTCATAAAAGTAAATTTTATTTGTTTTATTGTTATACAACAGATAGAGATATCAATCAAGCACATAGAAAAGGGTTGTAATATTACTACACAGATTTGGTCGATCTAGATCCCTTGAGGTCTTTGGGAATGATAGTTTCTAGCTGGCATGACCATCAACAGCAATACAGTAAATAGACTGCAGTTCCAAAATATCTTGAAGGAAAGCAGATCAGCAAGAGCTAAACTAAACTAAAAAAAATAATAATCATTGGAGCTACACAGGGCCTCAGAATTAATTTGGAAAAGTTATTTGAATATGTGGAAGTGTGAATGAAGCACACTTTAAAGCATCTGCAAATTTTTAAAAGGAGCCATGTCTTTTCTTTGGATTGTGTGGCTGTCTTTTACTGCTGCCATGCCATCCCAGGAAAAAAACACTCTAAAGAGTCATGTGGCTGCATATTCCAATTCAGGTTTTGGAAGTAAACTTGAAGCCATACTAATAGTTCATTTAATTATTCCATCAAAAGTCTAGTCTTTTCAATGGTAGTCCATGTTTTTCAGTCTGGAAAACATTCCAGACACTCCTATACTTTTTAGTACTATCGTACTTTATATTGTCATATTGTCCCTGTTGCGTTTATTCTGAATTACTGCAAAAAAGGCTGTTTTGTATACATATATGTAGCATATGCTGGATAAAGAACTTGATTCTGTTGGATTTGCTATTCTTCCTTTTTTAGCTTTCACATGAACTTGAAACATTTTTTCAAAATCAACTCAGACTGAAGCAATAAATGGAATGTTTTTATGTCAAATTGGCTTATAAGAACAGAAACATCTTTCTATTAGTATGGTGCTTTTTAACTGTCTTTTAGAATCCTTGACTAACGAAATCAATATACTTCTGTTTTGAATAAAATCATGTTCGAGAAAATAAT